TGGAGAGAAAAAGAGAGAGAGAGAGAGAGAGAGAGAGAGAGAGAGAGAGAGAGAGAGAGCGAGAAAGTTCGCAGTTATTCATAGAATTCTTATAAAAACGATCTTTGTAAAATAATTTTGGTAAATTTCTTCTTCACAAAACCCTCTTTGTAGAATCGATAAAAATGAATGAACAGTATTTCATTCATTCGCAACACGCTTGGAACCCTCGTGTTATACGGGCGTATTCATTTGTATTAAAATAACCACATATGTTGTGACTGTAGCGAAGAACTGAAAAAAACACACACGTTTATTTTTTGCAACTTTCACGGCATATCAAACATTTACGTTTCAATCCCCATGATTGGTAATAAATTTAAATAGATTAGCATAATTGTAAAGGGATTATATGGGCGTGTGTAGTTAGAACTAGATGAACGACATAATCAGTTAAGCAAATAAACAAATGATACGTACCGAGCCAGTGAGAACGTTATCGATTTTGAAGAAACCAGCAGCGGTGAAATCTAATGAATTGAGGATTATTTGTTCTGTAAACTGGCGAATCTGCGGACATATATTTATATTTCTAATATATATATAATCAGGATATTAATATTAGAATATACAGGGTGTTCCGTTATTACTGCATTATCTCTTAAGGGCGGATTCCTAAGATAATTTGAATAAAAAAATCCTAATACAAAAATGGCAAGGCTATAATACTTTTCAAATTATAAACGATTAAAGTTAACCAATTATACTGGCTAAAGTACGCGCGCTCAAGTATGGTACAACAATAGTACAGGTGCATGCACATATCGTCCCTTTTCCAAATATTGATACGGAAGTTCTATACAACAATATATACAACAATATATGTAATAATACAACATACAACATATAATACATACAACAATATATGTAATAATAATCTGCCTTTTCTATCATTTAAATAAACATATCGCAAATAATAGCAATTTCGTCAAAATGTTATGAATAAAATATGACACATTACATTTATGAGAATCAGTAAGCTGTCACACATTTGACGTTTCTTTCAGGGATTTGCAACTAATTTCATATCTTATGCAAATTCTCACTTATATGCGTGCACCTGTACCATTGTGTGTTGTACCATACCTGAGCGCACGTACTTTAACCAATATAATTGGTCAACTTTAATCGTTTATAATTTGAAAAGTATCATAGTTTCGACATTTTTGCATTAGGATTTTTTCCTTCAAATTACCTCAGGAATCCGTCCTTAAGAGATAATGTGGTAGTGGCGGGACACCTTGTATATATATTCATATATTCATCTTCTGTCGGATTACATTTATATAATTTAATGTATTATCGTAATGTATTATAATGTATTATCGCATTTATGGATACAAACAAAGCAATTTTGCTTCTCCAATTTAATTCGATTAGCATGCAATTATCGTTGATAACGTTAACGGGTCTCACCTCTTCCCTCAGCTCGTCGTTGAGAACAGACCCATCAAAAGTCTGTATGATTTCGCCAGTTTTGTACGACTGAAATCATTTCAATCATACAACACATGAATACGACATGAAAAAGTCAATTATACGTAATACATTAAATTAAGCGATTTTGAACAAAAGTTGATCCAACTCAATTCTGGGTTGTCTCTAATTACGCTCTCCGTTCGAATTCGAGCAATAATCTTGATCGATACCTCGTAGGATGCGGTTGTGCAAATATTATTCATCACTATGATTTTAATAGAATAAGTGGTTCCCCAGACTACCATAGCGACGATCTTCTCGTTTTCCTCGGCCATACGCAAAGTGGTGCCGATTATCACGGAGTATAGAGAGTATAAAACTACCGTGATTATTGTAAAATGTACTGCCATTTCCAGCAAAATTTGCAAGCAGTAAGCCCCATTAATGTCGTGCGCTATTCTCGTGAGCTCCAGATGCAGCTGCCTGCGAGACAGAAAACCAATCGGATCAATAGTTATCGGAGCGACGCTAAAGCTTGATCTATAATGTGTTATTTGCTTCCTGTTATTTTTTTTTATCTCTTTCTGACTCAAGTCTTAAATCTTAAACTAAAAAGAGACAGAAAACAAGAAACAGGAAGCAAAGAACACATTGTAGATCAGGCTTTAGTCTCGGCGAGTACAGAGATCTTCGTCGAAGTATAACAAGACCAATTAATTGGAATAACAATTAGCGAAAAATACATTAATAATTATGCGACGAAGTTTATCGAATAGGTATGTGCGTGTGAAAATTACATTGTACGATACGAACGCGTAATAATTCTACAATGGAAACGGAAGGGGGGATGGTGTTATCGATCTTACCTAAGCGTCTGCAAGAGATGCACTATCGTGTCCTTGTTGTTCCTATAGTTCGATCTGACGATCGCGATAGGCGTATTGTCGGGCTTGTTATGGATTTTCAAGATACCCGCGTCGTTCGCGGAGAGCACCACGTCATTCACCAGAATGTTTATGTATTGGAACTTCAATTTGACGCACCTGCACAAATCTCGCGGAATAATCGGAAGTGTCACTCCGTGACATTTGTAGATAGAATAGAATATAGACAGAAAAAAGAGAGGGACGCGTTATTTCGGGATTTTCGGGACATATAGTAGTTGGATGTGCGTGTGTGCGTGTGTCATGGACGTAAGAATATCTGGACAGAGTACAAAGTGCGATTATAGACGAGGGGCTGTGAAGCCTAAGGGGCAAGAGGGGTACATCGTCGCGGCAATGGCATCGTCGTTGGTACAGGAACTTTTATATCTATTTTCACTCTGTCAAAATAGCGACCGTCGCCATCTTGGTATATCAACTCCATTATAATACATATATCATTCCACTCACTTTTTGGGCTTCACCCCCGCGACAATATGCCCCGTCCAGATATTCTTCACGTCAATGGTATGTGTATTTCTCTCTTCTCTGGTAGCGCACATTACTTGCCTGATAAGTGAACAGGAAGTGAGGTCTACCACGGAATTAATCATAATTGGAATACTAAAGCACAGAGCGATATAGAAATTTTGTCCATATTTAATGTCATGCCACATCCACATGGCATGCGTTATGCTCAATAACAGTATGCTTGCTACCCAAATTACCGTACAGCCAAGAACGTCGTAAAAAGTTTTCCGATAGTTCTTCTTTATGCCTAATGCCTCCAAAGTGTCGTCCGCATGACCCATTTTCTTAAGTAATATTTCGGTTTTCTTAGGGCATATTAAATTCAATTATTAGTTTATCAATTATTAGTCAATCCGTGTCGTGTTGATTATTAACGGTGATTATAGTGACAGAAAAATTGCAACACTTTCACCTCGATGAATTGAAAAGGAAGAACTACGACCTTTTTGCCACTGACCGCCTGTGTGTAATCGTCGCGGAGTTTGTTATTCTTTTGTCTATGATTTCAACACGAAATAACGTTACGCGTGGAGAGACATACCTGTGACTTGCGCCAGAATAAGAGTATGGAGCAAGTAGCGACTAAGATGTTGACGACCAAGACGCAGTAAAATAGGGTCAGATTGCCGCTGTACGCGAAAATGAGAATTCCATTGTAAAGTAACACAAAGTATCCGATCATCATCATGAGGGTGTAGATAACGCTCAGGAATAATCGCGGCCGGTGCTTGGGTATCTCGAACACTCCCATGCAGAATATGCAATTGAGCCATATAATAGGCATCACCGCGTCCTTCAGACATCTCACATGCCATACCATCTTGAGTCGAGTATCTCGAGTGAACCTGAGCACACCCATCGACGTAAGTCGCAGTGAACGTTGCCAATTATTAACACGTTATCGAAAATTGCTCCCTTGCCTTATTTATTACTTCATTTGTGATTAGATTCGTGTAGTAGATTCAGGAACTGAATTGTTCGCGCGTTAGACCATACAAAAATTCGGCAATACGTTTGATCTCTTTTTGCCAACAATAAGTCTAACTCATTTCTGTCAAAAAGCCATTTGTATCAAAAGTGGATCTCTGATTCTTACTTATCGTGTTTGGCATATAACGAAGACTAGTGCTGTCAATATAAACTGTTTCTATAACTGGACATCTAGATAATACTTGAATACTTGAATTATTTGAAAAATATTCAGATAGCTGAGTATCCGATTGACAACACCCGAGAGACTCAGTTATTCGGGCAGTAACCGAATACCCGTGTAATTTAAGAAATATTTGTGTAATTTGAGAAATATTTCAGTGGCGAAATAGTCGGCTAATACTCGAAGACTCGAGTACCCAGTCAGCACTGAGATATCCGAGATAGCCGGAGTCGACGACGAATCTAGCCTTGGTAATATTGGCGAGGCAAGAGGTTAATGTGCGAGAGAGGACTTACGTTTGCTTGTTGTCGAGCTTTAAGCGCGATTCACCACGGCGTCCTCGTCGAGCTCGCAAACCGCACGAAAGTCTCCGTGTGTCGAAGCAGACAAACGAGCGAGCAAACACAGCACCCTACCGCGCGCTGAGAAAGTCACCTCTTTGAAGGTAGCACACAAAAAATGCGATACTATACGTACCCGACGGCTGTAAGGACTAAATTTGCGCGACGCAACGCTCCCGCGTGTTATCGTTAATGAACTCTACGGGCTGGCGAACAACTAACAGCTGATAAACGATCTCGCGTGTCGCTGCCACGTCCCTATGTGCCACGCGCGAAGCCCCATGTAAGTCGTGCAATTTCACTTATTACACGTGTTATACGCCGCGCCGATGTATATCTCATACGGCTTTTTCAATTATACTCATTCGGAGAGAGAGAGAGAGAGAGAGAGATAGCGATATATCGCTCGCAGAACTCGTCTACTCATCTGGCCTTTCCCTCTCGTCACCGTACTACTACCGCCGTTAAATAATAGAGTCCAGGGTCATTTCTCTCTCCGTGTACTTCGTTAAAACGTCATACTCTGACCTGACAAATTGCGAGAACCTATTTACAGTAGGTAGACTGTACGCTTCTTGACTTCCTTGATCTCTCAGTTAACGAAATACAAAAGTGTGGATCTCGATGTGCCGATTAAAGAGATACTGTGGGACTATTAAAATATTGCGTATATTTGCTTCAACAATTGTATAAACATTACATTATAAATCTTATAAAATTAGAAAATCGTACTCAGCAATATAAAACTCTAGGATTTGGCCTTCGCGAGAACTCTGGCGGACTCGCATTGCGCAATATTTATCATATCTCGTGATTGTCATTATACGACTTCAGTCATTGAAACCTTTTTAAACACATTAGAACATATTACAGGCGCGCGCTACGCATCTTTATCAATGACCTTTTAAAGGTCATTGTAATGATAAAGATGCGTAGCGCGCGCCTGTAATATGATTGTTCTAGAACAAAGTTACGGTTAATACATGTATTTTCCGATTCGCGTACTTGTTTAATCAGCTAGTTTAATCAGTTTCCTCATATTTAATCCATTAGATGCAATTAGTTACGCTTTATATGTACATTAATGGAAATTAATGAAGCCAAATCATAGTGGAGATCACCAGCAACCGTGTTAAATGTTAGATCGCGGTCGAGTCTGTAAATTCCGCGCGAAAACAAGATTTAAAAATATATTTTAATAAACATAATTTCTGCATATAGGCATGTTTTTACATATTCTATATAAATTGATAAAACTTATATTTTACACGCGTTTTCTTTTGTGGGTTTGCGGGATTTTACACTTTCAATCTCATAATATAATGCATAACATAATATAATGTTATAACATTATCGTGAGCTTCTAGCGTGTATATACAAAATTTCTTTAATCTTGCTGTGCCGACTCTATCAGCGATGTAATAATAATCGACACAAACTATCGTTCCTTTTACTACAGAATTGTTAATACCAGTTTTTGAAACGATCAACCGCTCGTTTCCATTCATTTAACGCGTTTTTATAAGATTCGCGTCTTACCATGTTCGGGTTGAATACTACTTTCCTTTGACAAAGCTTCATTATTTCTTCCCTACTGCGCCATAGTCCTGCAAGTGAACGAGGTACTGAAGATTATCGTTCGCTAAACACTAACGTCCAATATTGGACAGATTACAAGTACTTATGATACGAAACGATATAAAGTTCTTAAAGGTTGCTTTCTATAAGATCGTACCGCTTTCCAAGCCAGCCATAAAAGCTGTCCCCAAGATAGACATCTCGACAGATTCCGATCGCTCCACGTCCAATCCCGTTAAATCGCTCAGCAATTGCATAATAAAATCATTCCCGGAGACTCCGCCATCGATCCTGAGAAGCCACACGTTCGTTCAGTCAAAATTCAATTTAATCGTGGAACGAGCAAAAAAGTTACACAAAAAGCTGGCAATTTCGCGAAATAAAGTCTCTCTTTTTTCTTTCCACCTCTCTCTCCCCCCGTTCTCTCCTTTTATCATATTATCATCATATAATTTTCACCTTATTTTTTTATATATGAAGGAAGTTTCGTCCCAGAGGCACTCGTACAGCATCATTATTCTGAAAACAAGACTCTCTAACAACGATCGAACGATATGCATCTTCTTTGTAGTGGGCTTTATCCCTATAAAACCCGCTGCAGCCTTGGAATTATTTATAGGCGCCTAAAACAATAATTGAACGTTATACTGTCGCACGATGCTCTGTTATTTTTTAATTCACTCGTGTATATTTATTTCCGACTCAATGTGTTCTCTTTTTTCGTGCGCTTCTCGATGACGGACGACAAAGGGATTAATAGACTTCTCAAACGAGCTCGGGAAGCGGAAGAATACCAGAGGCAATCTCCCCGCGAATATCTCTCGCGTATGATGAATGAAACACTATTGTGCTATTTTGATATAAGACTGCTATTTTGATCGAGACAGAAAATTCGCCGAGCTTCAAAATAGTCAAAGTTCAAACTCATAACGCACCTGAAGACCACTGAATGCCGGAATAAAATATATTCCGTCGGAGTCGTCGACCTCTTTTGCGATGTTAGCAGTCTCCTTGACATCGCTTACAAGTCCTGTAATAGTGATAGACGTAAAATCAGCGCACAACAACTGAAGTAGGAACTCTTGGCAGACAAACAAAAATGCGCGCTCTCTTGAAAATGTCAAATTATTAAGTTGATGTAAAATATTTGTCATTCTTCTATTAAAAGAATTCTAAAAAAGAAAGAAAATTAGAAAATTTTGATATTAAAAAGAAAGTTCTTGTGTTAAATGTCTGAGAAAAGTTGATGTTACATTTTATTCATTTTATTCGTAAAAATTATTGGTCCTTTAAGATTGAATAATTTTGTCTTCTATCTTATTTGATTAAAAATATGACAAACGTTTTACGCCAACTTAAAAAACAACTATCGCGAATTCTTCACGTTAATGCGAGAGACTGATGAATTACCTATCTCTCTAGCCCATTCGACTAATATACCGGTGTCATACGAGGCTCCTTCCACGAGATAAACCAGTTCATTCTTGATTCGCCATCCGACAACTGGATAAAGGCCTGCAAACGATTTCCGATTTTTACCTTCGTACGTGTGTCCTTTGGAAATACTTCTTATACTACATTCTATTCGTAAAAAATTGAAATGCGTCGCGCGGAAAGAGTACGGCGAACGCGCGTGATTAGGAGCTCGCGAAATCACCTTTAACAGACGCGTGCGGCTGCGATCCTGTGTTAACGTTCACGAAGGTGCCGGTTCCCATGGTGATTTTGAGGTCGCCAGGATAGAAGCATCCCGAACCGAACAAGGATCCCGATTGGTCGGCGACCTTATTTCATCGAATCATCATCATTAGAGACGAAAGAATCCTCGAAAGATGTTACCTGCCTCTCTCTCTCTCTCTCTCTCTCTCTCTCTCTCTCTCTCTCTCTCTCT